TATATTATATATGAAGTAAAGTATATGTTTTGCAATATGTTTAATTATATTTTAATTTGTATTAGAAGGTTATAATATTCAACAAATATATAAGTACATCTATAAGTATACATATACTCAACGAGTTAAATAATAATAATAATAATAATCAAATTTTAATACTTGAATAGATATTAATTATTAAAGTTTTATATCTATTAATTTTTAAATTAAATACAAATATAGACAAATATTTCATTCATGTATTTGCATAACCTACTTGTGTATATGAATATAATCGCAAATTGTAAACTCACTTTAAACCACCCAAAGTTTACAATTAAAGGGATAATAATAGGCATTATGAATTTTTCTCTTTCTAATTGTAATTTTTTAAACCTTAATAAAATTCAAAAAATTTTGTCTATTTTTTTTTTAAATTGAAATTTACTTGATTACCTACTATAATTTTGAAAAATATCCCTTTAATTGAATCAACTAAAAAATTAATAAAAAGAAATAAATAAATGTGGGTAATAATTGAAAAAAAAAGTTGGTAAAATATTCATGTAGAATGATATTAATATAGAGTATGATGTGGTATCAGTGGATCCTATTATAGCCAAATTGAAGAAAAGTGACGGTGTTAACCAAATCGTTAGGCTTTAGCTATAAAAAGTGACGGTGTTAGCTATGGAATGGAAGGAGGGACGAAATTAACCACTTTTTGAATAGTAGAGAGAGGACATGTGAGCTCAAACTGAAGTAGAGGGACGACCTGAGGTGATTTCATGGTATAAGGGTTAAATTGAACTTTTTCACAAAGTAGAGGGATGATTGTTGGCTTTAACCCGCACGACCTGAGGTGATTTCTTGTAGGGTTTTGAGTTCACCGCTCTGAGAAGAGAGTGGGGAAGGAAGGTGGCCTGGCCTTGGTGATGATGCTCGTTTTCCGGTGGTGTTGTATTTGGTGAGGCAGCCGTAGCTGTAGCTTCACACGTGACTTTGTCTCATTGGGTAACATGTGAATTGCTAGAATTCTTCTTTTGTAGAGCAGATGCATTTCAATTCAGAGTCCATGGTTAAAAATTTTAAATTTTAAATTAAAAAATTTTAAAACTCGTGTCTAAAAAGAGATTTAAAAATGGTAAAGAGTTATTTTTTTATATAATTTGTAATTAAATTTATAAAAAAACAGATGCATGTCATCAATCACCCTTGTGGCTTGGTAGTTATATTTTTTTTTTTTAAACAAATTTACAAAGAATAAAATTTAAATTGTTGTTCGAAAAAAACAAATGCACTTTAAATATGATTTGACACCACTAGTCCAAAAGTCCAAAGATTCAAGTGCAGTAATCATGTTTCTTTTTTAGCAATAAGTGATGGTATTCCTAATGAGGTAAAATTTGAATTCTAAGTTTAATACTCCTTCATTGCTTAAAAACGGATACTAATATTATTAGTATGATTTTTATTATTATTAAAAGAAAAGCAGATGCATACCGAAAAGTTGTAACGTCGTCGTTTGGCTATTTGAACTGGGCTCAATTATACCAAAGTACCGATTGGGCCTTGAAGAAATTATTTAAGCTTAGGCAGCATCTCTAGGATACTATTAGGCCCAATTTTGTGGATAAATTCAAATTTGGGAAAAACCCAGGCTTTCAACCGGAGTCGAAAGCCCAAAACTAACGCAAGTCTTTTCCAGTTTTCAAACCTATCTGATCTGGAGAGCCCAACCGAAGCCTAAAAGGCTAGTTAATGACATTGCTGTGACTTCCTACCACTTTCATTCAGAAGTAGTGGACTAGTGTGTTGTTTTCAATCCAACTAGACTTCAGAATGATAGAAGGAAATATATTAAATAAAATTCATGAAGAACAAAATGGTATTGCATTTCATTGTATTTGGAATCTATACAAAATAATAAATTTTGAGATCCCTGCTGTTCTCCACACTAAGGGGCATCTTTTTTAGAATAATTTACAAGTATCTGTAGAACTTGGTATTTTGCTGAATCCTATTGAAAGAAGGGTAGAAAAGGCAATGATCAAACATCCTCCAATAATTTTCATCTGAAGGAGGAGCTCAGCAGGCTTTGGGGATGGTTGGTCAAGATTCTAAGATTTCAGGGACTCCTTCCAAAACAAAAATGACTGACTATCAAAATTGCTGGTGAATGGTTGCCAATTCAAGTTCTGTTATCAACTCTTCTGGCCTTCCCTGGCTGTCTATTCTTGCCACCCATGTAAGAGGTGAAGTTTACAACATTTTAACTCACTATTTGTGGTTTCCTGTTATGTTGTTTCCACTTATGTAAACCTACAACAGAATCCACATTAATGCTTCGTACCTATTCTAATTTCCTAAGAACCAGCTGCAAAACAAGATATTTAAACACAAATAATTTAAGAGTAATAAAATCCTACGAGCACACATAAGCTATCTTAATATGGCTTTTAATAAGTTTATAAAAGAAATTTGCCTTCCAACAACTGAAATGGGATCTAACTGAACTTTTGAGGAGTGGGAAAGTCCATTGTATGATTTTATATAAGCATCTGGTGTTTTCTAAATGGTGACCAACATTTCTTAATGATATAGAAGAAGTTGAAAATTACCAAAACCATATATCATATATAATATATAAACGGTCAAATCCTCTATTTGCACCCTCCATTTATTTCTTTTCCGCAGTCAACACCTTTCAGAATTTTTCCTCCTTATTTACACCCTCCATTTTTTAAAACCTATGAAAAACCCAATATTTTAACAGACCGTCACAGCACCGTTAAAAAATATGTTATGTGGCATCCAAAAATTGATATGGCACTACATAACGTTAATAATCCAACGTGGATAATTTTTTTTTATGACGTGATTTATTTTCTACGAAAGTGGACGCCACATATATAATAAAAATAATAAAAAATTATAATATTACCAAACAGTTACATAAATAGCATTTTTTTTTTCTTTCCCCCCTCATCCCCGACATCATCTTCACCATCCTCGCGGGGAACCCAGTTCGGGTTCCTGCGCGGAACCCAGTTCTGGGCTCTGCGCGAGGAACCCAGTTCCAACTTTTTTTTTTTTGATTTTTTTATTTTAAATGCATTTATCTTAGCTTCCGATTTTATGCAAAGCAATTTGAAATAATTTTTTTGTTGGAAATATGAGTTTTTTTGCTTGGAGATTGTTTCTGAATAGGTTGTCAATTTGAATTTTTTTCGTTTTTTGTGGGAAAGGAGTAGAAGATGCTGATCATGTTTTTGTGCAGTATTCATTCACTTATAATTGTGTGAATGAAAATCTTAGCTTGGTAGGCATTCATGTGAAATTAAGTTCCACGAAAAACTCAGAACCTAGGGGGATGAGGACGAGGATGGTGAAGATGATGCTGAGAAAGAAGAAAATGAAGAAATTAAAATTAATGATAATTTAATTATAACACATATAAAAAAAAGTCCAACATTGGATTAATAAATGTGACTTAAAGTTCTGGGTTCCTGGTTCTATGAGGAACCTAGGAAGATGAAGAGGAAGATGGTAAAGATGATGCGGGAAAGAAGAAAATGAAAAAATTAAAATTAATTATGGTTTAATTATGCCATATCATCAAAAAAAAGTCCACATTAGATTATGTTACTGTTTAATGTCACGTATTACAATTTTTAACGGTTATTAATGGTGCCGTGACGGTCTGTTAAAATATTGAGTTTTTCACGGGTTTTGAAAAATGAAAGGTGTGAATATGGAGGAAAAATTCTGAAAGGTGTTGACTGCGGAAAAGAAATAAATGAAGGGTGCAAATAGGGGCTTTGGCCTATATAAATTTATGA